ACAGCGGAGTTTTTTCTTGTTTGCAAAACTTGCTTATTTTTTGGTGCTGTAATGTTAAATAGTTCTTTTATCAAATCGTAATGATTCAAACAGTTTACTTAACAAAGTATTATAACTTACTTCATAGATTTACTTTCGCCTATTTTTAGGCTTGTGTTTGACACATTTTGTTCGGCTTTGAGTTAGCAGTAATGTTTGCTGATGGCTTCAGTGGTTGAGATAATGTGCCTCCGCGGCCTCGTTTATCCTCAGTCAGTAGATGGCGCACTTTGCAATTAAGATATCATCCTTTCATATGACATCACTTTATTTTCTGTCTTATGTGAAGAGATTAACACTAATCTTATTGCGATCATAAATGATAGTAGTAACAAATTAAATAACCGTAATGTATCTATCCCAGACGGTAGCTTCCGGAAAAAGTGGCATGGTGTGACACCAGCTTCATCAGCTGTCACTCTTGTGGTACTGTTACATGAACTAGATGGTGAAAAATTCTTTGAAACAGTATGTTCAAATATTTTCCCACGGTAAGTAAAAATTAAATTTTTTTTCAAATGCGGAGGACGACAGCATTCCATGAAATCGCGGCGACACCCGTTTACACATCCGTGTTTAGATGCCTGATAACCTTTTTTCACGAGACTGTTTTTCGAGTTTCGGCAGTGCAATGACCTGAAACAACAGCTCCCATCAATTTTTAGTATTGAAGAATTGTTTATTTTTGGTCGTTCAGTACCCTTCTTTCCATCACTTCTTTAACTGATTGACGACGGGTGGAAGAAATCACTATTATTTTTGAGACAGGTTTGACAGAAAATTTTTTTCTAGTAGTTTTTGCATTTTTTTATTAACAAAGTACAATTTTGTAACTTTTTTCGTTTGTTCTGATACGTTTTAGCGCAAGCGCAAACGGCGGTTGTTCTTATTGAACGCAATGCATTGAATTTGAGGCTTAGAAGTTTCAGTTTGCGCATATATTGATTTAATAATGCTCAATGCACTTTACGTAATAATAATAATAATTTTCTGCTGTTGAATTTTTCGGTTCTATGTTGGACTTTTTGTAGTACTTTTCAGATTTTACTACCGTCAGTTTTTTTGTAGTAATTGGTAAGGCTGTGTCATAATTGGGAAGATTGTTATATACTTACGACAAGATTAGATGGAGATCAGTTAGATTGAAAGATCACTTGTGACGGTTTCGACTCCGTCGATGACCGGTGTTGATCAGATAGGTTGATTGTATCCAATATCTGGTTTTGCCGTTCTTTGGAATCCAGATCTCAGGGCTTGTCCGATTAGCATAGAACGGATACAACCGCACCTCTTGAAACTGTTGCCGTCAACTGCCAAGGAACAAAGGACTTCGAAAAGGATGGATAGAACTTCCAGAGTTCACTTACAAACAGTTGTTTCTCCTGCCTTATGGGGTCTATCGTCATTTATGCTATTTGTCAAGAATATTTCATTAAAAAGTTCCGCACGAGAGATGGTAATGGCATTTCTGTACTTTACATTGTACCCCTACTTATGCGCAGATGCACGAAAATACATTTTATTTACACTTTTTTGAGCAGTACGATCCATCGATCCTGAATAACGACCAGAACATGCAAAGGAACAACAGGAGATAGAGGTGGTTGTTGCTTTATGCATGTTAGATGAGCTGTAGCTAAAGAATGAGTCTGTGATGCACAAAAAAGTTAACCTGCAAATTTGGGAAGCTGTACGAAATACGGCGCGATCATGCCACAAAAACTCGTATGAAGGTAACGTATTTTCGATCCCAGTATCCAGTCTGAAAACATCTGGTTTCCTGATGCGTCACTAAGTTAATCTCAACCATTTTCATCAATAACCAATACCTCAGTATTGTGTGGTGTACATGGCGACAAACGACCTTATGCTGGCGATCTTCGATCGGATTAAAACCGTCAGAATTAGCCAAAGACCTGGCATAAATATTTAATGCAGTTCAGTGAGAAAATCAAATTTTTTCTATCGTGGGAATCGTTCCTTGGTTGCAGGCACATTCGAGGACAGCGCAAAGCGGTGAAAGATTTGGTAGAGATAGAATGGCTTGCAAGGTGAATATGATCTTTGTAGTGCCAATGACAGCTAGTATGAATTATTGGCACTTGAGGATCAGTTCAAGCAAACTCAATCTATGCGACTGCTACTCAAGCTTTGTTAGCTTCAGTTAATGATAATAGCAGTAAAGAGGAAAATATGAACTGCAAACTGTTCTTTATGAAACCTTCCTCGATTTTCTCTTTTATTTATATACCCAGAGCCTTCTGAGCAACTTCGCGATTAGTTGCGTTGCCTTCATTGGGAAATGCAAATTCACTTTATTTAACTTGCGCAATAATTAAATAAATTGAATTATGGGCGAATTGAATTTCGTGTTTTTCCCTCATCTTCATCTTCATCTTCCATCGCCGCTTCTCCTTTCGGGTCGCGGAGGCAGACGCGTCAGACAGT